TCTACTTCCGATCTCAAATATTTTTCAAATAAATTTGCATGTGACGTTAAAGGTTTTTATACGTGTGCATGATGAACTCTACTATCGAAAATAAACTAGCGTTTTATTTATTTCAAATTGTAACTTTATTTATTTACCCTTATTAATCCATATTCGGCGATTATGCAAGCTCCGGAATAAATTGCGATAGTAAATAGGCTGGGAACTGGCGAATTGGCGAGTCCGGCTTGTGACGGCCTGGGTCGTTTGGCCCGGTTTTTTTCTGGGCTCAAATATTTTGAACCCGACTCGAAAAAATATGGGTTGGCTCGTGAGTAAGCACGCGATCCGCGACTCATTTTACACCCTAACGGTATAGCATAAGTTTTATCAATACAATATCGTGTAGGAGCAGAGGAAATCTACCAGCTTGGACCTCTAAACGAGTATGAAAGGTAAAAAAAAAGCTTCTGAAACTCTGAGGAAGTTTCAGACAAATCTTTTTTTAATAAGAAGATCAGATCTTTGAGATGAGAAGTTGTAATCTTAAATCTGCAGGATCGGTCTGGAGAAAGCCAAGGCAGAATTAGCCGGAAGCATTCAGAAAGGGGTCGACTTTATCAGAAAATGAGTGAAAACTCCAATACAAATTTCAGAGGATTTGACCATATATACATCTATTCTCTCCAGTCCTCGCTTGTGTACTCTTTCACATTTCGGTGTACTAAAGTTTCCGAGTGAATGGACCCTATTGAAATCACGAGGCAGAGCAGGAAAAAACCCATCTGATAAACCAGTCAATACACACTATATATATGAACCATTATAGCAAAAGGGTTCATTTCTCAGGCTTATTTAGGAATTATCTGCAAAGTTTCTTCCTTTAGCTTCTTCTCCGCACCGAAACCGAACTTCAGAAATGTTTCGTGTCTTCAGGAACTTGAAGTGAACCCTTTTCCTGTGCCTTGGGGCGCAAGTTAAGATTTTATATATTGGCAATGAAAGTTGGTCTACCTACTTTGCCGTGGAAAACCATGTGTTTATTATTGCCTCTGATTTACAATAAGGAGATAGAAAAGGAATATACTTTAAAAACATACACGGAGCCAACAAAATCAAAGGCTGCCACTTTCCAGAGAAAAGAGTGCGATCCACAAAACTGAAGCCCAATCTTCCGCGATAATGGCGGCCACGAGGGTGATAACAGTCGCCAGTCAGACGACGTCGTGTCTTCTGGCGAAGCGGCAGTGCCTTCTTCCGACGGGGAAGATCGGCGGTTTTGGGGGTCTCTGCTTCAGCCGGAGAAGCTTGGTGTTGAAATCGAAGAGACCCTTCTCTTGCAACGCGATACACAATCCTCAGGTTCAGATTAAGGATGAAGGTCAGCCCGATACCCTAGATTACCGGGTTTTCTTCCTCGATGGCTCCGGCAAGAAGGTATCGGTGTTTTTCTTTTCTCTGTGTGTTCGCTTTCTGGGAAAATAAATCAACTTTTCTCTGTTTTTTGTCGAAATTTATGTGGGTTTTGGAGTTTCGGATTGCTCTGCATTTGCCCATAAGTTTGAATCTGCAAAAAGCTATCTGATTGGGGAATGCCCATAAGTCAAAATCGGTTTGGTGTGCTTTCTCGTCAAGCTTATTGGTTCTCAATCTGTCGAAGCTGAAGAATAATATTCATGTCTGTGTAGGTTTCTCCATGGCATGACATACCACTGCACTTGGGGGATGGTGTTTTCAACTTCATAGTGGAAATTCCTAAAGAGACAAGTGCAAAGATGGAGGTTGCTACTGATGAGCCTTCCACTCCTATTAAGCAAGACACCAAGAAGGGAAAGCTCAGATATTATCCGTGAGTTTGCTTCTGTAAACTTGTTCTTTTGCAGTTTCTCTGTCTTTGGTTAACCTCTTGAGCTGCCAATAGCATGTTTCAGGAATTTAGAATCATTTTCCTGGCATCTCGTCCGTTGCTTGGAATTGCTTCGAGATTTATTATGTGCGCTTTCCAGATTGGTCATCTGAAGATCTTTTTTTGTTTATACAGGTACAACATAAACTGGAACTATGGGTTGCTTCCACAGACATGGGAAGACCCATCTCATGCAAACTCTGAAGTTGAAGGTGCCCTAGGGGATAATGATCCAGGTAACTTCGGGTTATTCATATTTTGCTGTAACAGGGTTTCTTCTCTGAGTTGTACCAGACATATATATAGTAAAGTTTTTTTTTTGCTTATCCTTCCCTGTTCATGTTGTAGTTGATGTTGTTGAGATTGGTGAAACCCAGAGGAAGATAGGCGAGGTTCTAAAGGTCAAGCCTTTGGCCGCTTTAGCCATGATTGACGAGGGGGAACTGGACTGGAAGATCGTTGCTATTTCTTTGGATGACCCAAAAGCTCATCTTGTGAATGATATTGATGATGTTGAGAAGCATTTCCCTGTAAGCTCCCACAAACAAATCTCCATGTCCTTGTGAAAGCTGTAATTTTCAGGCCATATGGACCTTAGGGTCTGACTTTTAATGTTGTTTTCAGGGTACTCTTACAGCCATTAGAGACTGGTTCAGAGACTACAAGATCCCAGACGGAAAGCCTGCAAACAAGTTTGGTCTTGGAAACAAACCGGCGAACAAAGTATAGTTCATATGATCTTTCTTTCTGCATCTGCTGTTTTGTCTTTGGTAATAAATTGACGAGAAACGGTTGGCCGATACTGCTGCAGGATTATGCTTTGAAGGTGATCCATGAAACAAACGAATCATGGGCTAAACTTGTCAAGAGATCAGTTCCTGCTGGCGACCTTTCCCTCATCTGAACATTGTGTGTATCTTTTCGCAGTTTCCAATTATGAGCTTGAATAACGGACAGACGTTTGCCCTTTGCGGTAGCCTACTGTGATACTGCATTCTTGCTTTTTGATGAAATCGGATCATCAAGATTCCTTTTCCCAGCCCTATTAAGAAATTTTCAACCTTATGTAAACATAGATAAAAGGAGTGTTGGATCAAGAACATCCAATACTGCAGTGCCCTTGAATTCATCAAAATTTACTTAGAATCAGTGGTTTGTGATCGAGGAAAGGGCAGTGCTTCTGAAAAAATCTGAGCAAAGACAGATAACAGGAAATAATGAAATGAAGTAATTGAATAGTTACAGACAAGATCTTGGTTGTGGAACTTGGACATTACAGATTCCCGTTTTAGCTATTGAAACCAGATGAAGAAAGCAAGCAGCGGATCACGGGTACAAAAGATAGTCAGGATAAATTCAAATTTCTGCTGTAGCAGTATCCGCGTGGGACATGAAACAGGTACTTACAATTTGTGGTAAATATCTACACACGAAACAGGGACACATAATGTCACCCTGGAAGTTCCAACATTTCTAGATCATGCAGTTTTGTGCCGAAGGTTGCAGTCTAACCATATCACCGACCGCTCGATCTGAAAAAAACGTAGATGCAGCGAGAAAATTGAGTTTATTTGTCCAAACTGTATCTCCAACTCATGATTGCATTCATAATTTGCACCAGAGAACAAAAAACTATAACCAAGAAACATGAATGGAGGAAGATTCTTATACCTAAAGCACTGCACACATTCTTTTTATGACAAAGAGTACAAGAAAGGACAGAGTTACCATACTTCTGACAGGAAGGTCAAGGCTGTGTCATGCCTTCATCGAGCAGAGGGGTCGTTGTGGTTGAACCCCTGTTCACTGTACCGTGCTCTGAATCTTCGTTATATCTGTCCACACTGTTCAGGAAAATCCCTGTGGCATCATGACAAGTGCAGAACATGAAAATCATTAGTTCCAGTTCCAGATAAACCGAGAAACTCCTGTTTCTCATTTCATGGCATGCTTTTGGAACTAACCCATAAACCATATTGCAGCGGCTGGAAAGAGAACTGATGTGAGAATAAGAGCAGTCTCTCTCCAATTGTTTACATGGTCCTGCATGCATCAGCAGCATAATAACATAAATCAGATAGCCATAACACGAGTTGTTCAAAATAAGGATGAGGGTTTAGACATCTAGGAGTCGCTGAATCAAGATTGATGAATTATATCTGAGAGTAAATTCAATTGAGAATACAAACCTGGAGGACCCCGACAAGCGGAGAGGAAGGGACATCTCCAAAGATATGAATTGCAACTGTGGAAATTGCCATGGACAGTGGTCTTAAACTCGGTTTCACACAGTGGAGATTCACGTAATTCACGGGACCCTAAACATAAAAAACAAAAAAGGATTAATTAAAACATTGCTGCGTAATGCAAGAAACTATTGCATAAAGAATCAAGTACCAGAAGCATGGAAACAGAGATACCTGTGTGGAAAAGACGAGCAATTCACCAACAGCAAAAAGAGCCAAGAATGCATACATGCTCTTGAAACAGAAAGCAATGAAGCAAAACAATCCTCCTAGGAGTGTTGCCACTGAAAGAAGCTGCAAAATACCGAAACACGATATAGTTAAAATACATGTGGGGACGTGATTAAACCAAAACATATTCGATCTTGTTATTTTATGTGAACCAAAAAGACAAAAACCAGTTTATCTTCTCAGCAACACAATCTAACCTTAAAAGCATTTGAAATCGTGGAATCTATATAATCCAGAATCAAGCCCCCCGATACTGTGCCCAAGATCCCGCAAATAACTGTGATTCCTCCAAATATCAGATCTGCATTACTCTGCAAAAAGGGACAAAGGCATTATCCCAATGCAACCTCCCCAGGTATTTGATTAGACAATAAAGAAACTGTTAAAACATACGAGATGGTAATTTTTTTACCATATTGTATATGTTATAACCAGCTTTTGGCCCCCAATATGAATATGCGCCTAACACAAAGTTGTATGCAACATATCCTAAAAAATAGGAACGACAAAAGAATAAAAAACATGGACACAAGAAACGAGTATGTAGTTTTTTTCCTTCTCTTTTCTCATGGTCAAGAAGGGAGGTAGTTACCAAGAACATTGGTGACGTAAACCTTATCTAGCAAAAGCACCTGCATATCTTTCACAATGATTGAAAGCTGATATTTAATCGGCAGACCTTCTGATCTACAAGACAAAATCAGAAAAATATTCAGAGGGACAAAAATCTGTATATGCATTTGGAGACTTGCATGCTTTTTGGTGCGTAAAAATAAATGCATGCAGTTATTTTCTTACTTGGAGGATTTAGTTGATACAGGAGAATCCGAAGGCAACACAGTCATGCTAGCTTTACCAAGTACAGCATCTTCCTCTGTTTCAATACAAAGAGAGGCCCACCTTCATTATCGATATATAAACTCCATTTGATAGAAAATTTGCGATGAATATATGTCAAGAAAGATTATATTAATAGGTCATGGGAAGGCAAGCACAACCTTGAACGTCTAAATCATCCGTCTGAGCTCTAGATGTCTCAGTTGAAGCAAAACCTGAGTTTCAAGTATCACTAGATATAGGTAAAAAAAGAAAGAGAAAAAAAAAGGTTACATCAATTTGCATCTCTGAAAACACACCTTTCAGCTGCAAAGGCTTCATAACGAAACCTAGAACAGCAAAAGGAAGCATAAGTATTGCTTCTCCCCAGAATGCAGCACGCCAGTGAAGAGCACCCCCGACCTATTAGACAAAAAAGGACGGGCCTTTCTTATACCATATATAACTAAGAGAGGTTCTAAGGGAGGACAATGATGTGGGAGAAAATCAAGACAATATAATTCGAATATCTAGCCGGGAGAGAGAGGAGAAAGAAAGCTAACTCACCAGTCCACCATAAACGTAGCCAATAGCATATCCAGTTGGAATGCACATATAAAATATAGAAAGCCATGCTGTTTTCTGGATAGAAACACAAAGGAACTGGTTTATGAAGCATACCATACAGATTGGGTAATTTATAGGTTCAAGTTTAGAGAGAATTTTATCAACTGGATAGTTCATACCTGATCAACTGGGGCATTATCATCTATAAACGGGGCCGCAAGGCTTATAAACGACGCTTCACCAACGCCCACAATCCTATGTGGGGGACATCCGGGTGTTAGAATACGTAAATGATTTATGAGAACATAATACGAAAGCAAAGGGCATACTACTCACATGCGACAGATTGTAATGGACCAGAAATCGAAAGAAAGACCACAGCCGATAACAGCAAAAGTCCAGACAGATAATCCAACTCCAATAAGTCTAAATGGATTAACACTGCAATAATATGATGAGACAAACGAGTGAGATGTATCCAGACTTGTTCCTTCAGTAAAGGATACAAAGATTCAAAATCAATAACATCAGTCCCTTCGACACATACAACCAAAGTACAAGTTGTCAGAAGCTCAGATAAACAAGAACACACCTCTTGGCCAAAGATGCAAATATGGGAGAGGCCACAAGAAGTCCAACCATAAAAGCAGATGACAGAACACCATCCTGGAAGTTGCTCAAGTTAAAATCTCCCCTGGTACAAACACCTCAAATCAATTATTAAAATGAAGAATGAACATCTAGATATCCAATGACAGAATGTTCGGATGACCACATTTTCAAGCCAAATTTTAACATATTTACATAAAAAACGAAAACGGGTATCATCTTAGGGCACTAAAATGTTGAGAAAGATCCAACAAAATGAAAGGATCATACGAGTGGTACATGAAAGATCAGGTCAATTTCTCAAACTTCCCAAAAGCATACATCAGTGCCAAAAGATAAACACCTATGGGAGCACAGACAGAAACAAACTACACAAGATCGACCCAACTCAGTATTAGAATAACAAACTCTACACATCTAATGAAAAGAAAAACAAGTAGCCTGAAATAAGAGTCTTCAACCATAACTTACTGGATTCCACTGCCAGAAGAACATGTACCACTCGATGTGCATTTTCCAAGACTCCCATTAACACCATTACTTGCTATGGCTCCCCGATCCACATAATTTAGTAAGTTGATTACACAAAACACAGCGAGCAGCCTGCAATGGCAATGGGGAATTTAGAGGGGGGGAACAAGAAGAACGAAATGATTCCATCACTAGTAAAATCTAAAACTTTATGAAACACAACAAAAAATCATCCAACAAGAACCCAAGAATAAAAGAAATTCAAAGAATATAGATTTACTGGCCAAGTAATCCATAGATATCTTTCTGCTCACTGCCTCTACATACCAAAAGAAAACTAAGAAAAAATTTAAGGAACTAAACAAACCTACAACTTATATAGTACAATCCTAATTCCTTTGGAGAATATCTGCTCATGATCTTCAATCCAAGTGAGATCATGGTCATCAAGCCATAACGTATCAATCCAACAATCGAGGAGCGAAAACTGAAACTCTTAAACGAACAGAGCTTGCTGTAATGCCCATATTTTAGAGGGTTGAGTTCAATCCGCAAGTTCGATTCTGCGATACATCGAAAACAGATTGCTTCCACACAAAAACGAAACAGAGAAACATAAACGATTCTCGAATTGCAAACATAATCTTCGTCTAGGAATAGCAATTCGAAAGATTCCGGCTTCCTTCGCAACTACAATTCAAAGTTCCAAACTTTACCCAAGATTTTGCATAATTTTCCGAACCCAATTCGACCCAGGAAATCCAATTGACAACAAACAAAAAATTACTTTTTAGGGGAAAACCAGGAAGGGTTTTCGATCTTATGGACGATCGAATTTGGATCCGTCTCCATAACTCTAGGGTTTCGCCGGGCGGAGGGGAGCTGACCACCTTCTTCTTCTACAGCCATGGAGAGCACGGTTATGTCAAAGATACGAACTTGGGATATTCCATATGGATATTTTCGCTCTGGCAGTTTGAAGAAATCAAATAACCATCTACCATTGTTTTTTTTTCCACAGTTTTTTCCTCTCTTTCGTCTTCTTTTTTTTTGGGTTTTTTAAGATTTATCCCTTCACTCACAAGACATAAATTCTGATTTTACGTTCTTTGACCGGAAGGAATAGCTCCCTCACTCGGGTTTTTCACCCAAATAACCCAACTAGGTCGCATATATTTCACCTGTACACCACTGAAAATATAATACATTTTTTTTTTCCTGTGAAAAGACGAAATTACCGAATTACGATATTTATCCGTTCAAAAACAACTTCGTTATTACGACTTCGTAATTAAGTCTAAATATAGTTACAATTGATTCTAAAAAAGGTGGCAAAAAAATCATTTGTCTTATTTTAGCTGTATATCAGTTATATGTTAGTTGTAATAAGGTCGCAAAAAATAAAACGAAAAGGGTATTTCGGACTTTTCCAATCGAAAAGTGGGTTAAAATTGAAAAAAAAAAAAAAATTCGGTGGTGTACCCTGAAATAGATACGACCCAAGTGGGTTATTTGGGTGATTTTCCCCACTCGCTCACCCATCCATCATCGGCATTATCCTGATTCCAACGAATTCAGATATTTTTTAGATAATTTTTTTTTTGTTAAAAGGTGATGTTTGTATTTCGGTTCGATTTGATTCGATATTATATAAAAATATCAAATTGTACAAATTTTAAGATATCGAATGGTTCAGAAAGAGTCGATTCGGTTTGAAAAATATCGAACGATATTTTGATGTTTTTATTTTTTAATTAAAAAATATTTAATATTAATAGTTAATTATGATATTTACTAAATATTAATTATTTGTTTATGGTATGCGTATTTTTTTATTAATAATAATTAATAGTGATATTTATTTCGTATACTCAATAAATTATTTTGTTTTTATTAACTAGAGTTTTCCAAAATCAGGATTTGATATTTACACCAGATTTTATATCAAATCGTAATTTCGCCTTTTCACTCACAGTCGAAGAGAAGTGATATCCAAGTTGGAGATAATTACAGTTTTACCCCTATAATGTTTCCTTTTCCTTGAATCGAAGAGGATTTACTAGAGTTTGAGTTTCAGTTAAGTTTCCTTTTCTCATTATCCGATTCCCATCTCAGTGGACTATAAAAGGGGCATCCGATCACAACCACAGCACTCGCAACCAAACTCAAAGCCAAAACAAAACAAGGAGAAAGGCAAAAGATATAGCTGATGTCCAGCGTCATGTTCAACGGCTTCTCGTCCGCCGCCGGAGGGAACAGAGCTCCGCCGCAATCCCCCTCAACAGCCGCCCTGGAACTCTTCTGGGTGTTCGACCTGTTTATTGCCGGTGGTAGAATCGCCGAACTGGCGTCACTCGTCACTGGAGACAACAATCTCTTCCTTACGCTGGCCAGAGATCGCATGGGTTCAATCAACCTCCGCAGACTCCTGGGAAGATCCGTCCAGATCGACGACATGTTCTTCGACGCCGTAATCTCGGTGTTCCTCCCGATTATGAAGCTCAAGTACGGACACCACGTGGCCATGCGGACGGTGGAGGCAGCGGACAGGGAGAAGAAGAACGCGTTCTACTCGGCGGTGGAGACCCACTTCCTCGAGCTGGCCTACGACGAGAATGGCTGCGTCGCCCTCAACGAAGCCATCACGGCCGTGGCCGGGCCGCACAGGCAGAGGATTCTCGACCTGGTCGCGGAAAACGCGGTGGGGTTAAGCATGGACACGTCAGGAAACTTCGTGGTGCAGCATGTTCTGAAACTGAGTAACCCCTTGTGCACGGAAAAGATGGCGTCGAAGCTGAAGGGACATTACGTCCTCCTGTCGTTCCAGAAGTACGGGAGCTACATCGTGGAGAAGATTCTGGAGCATCCGCCCACCACGCATCTGGTTCTAGGCGACCTGATAGAGTGCAGCGACCGCGAGCTCATGAGACTGGCCGGGAACAAGTACGGGAACTACGTCCTGCAGAGGGCGCTGGAGAACACATTTGTCCGTCGGCCCAATCTTTACGCGAGGCTCGTGACGAAGTTGGATCCCTTCTCCGGGAGGGTTTTGTGTGGCGGTCACGCCAGAAACGTCATCGACTTGGTGCATAGATTCGACAATCTCCTCCGTGAAGTCCTCCAGTGATTTTTTTTTCCAGATGTTTTTGTTACCAAATCTGTTGCCGAATGATGTAATAATTACTAGTTTGATTTTTATTATTTATTTTCATTTTATTATTGTCTTATTCACTTTTTACTTTTCCTAATTCAATAATAAATATATTATTATAATTTGTATCATATAGTTTTAAATATTCACCCCAAAATCTCTGCAAATATAAAAATTTAAAAGATCCAAATTTAATTTTTTTTAAGTTTTTATTTCAAAATACAAATATTGGATTATGATAATAAAATATCATAATTTTTAATTGGATTATTAATATAACCTATGGTATTAACCAAACCAAATCAAAAAATAGTTACTAGATTGATTTTACGTGACCAAAATTATATTTGCATTCTCTACATTGGGCAAAAATAAGATGAAATCAATTCCACCACTCTCATCTACGAAACTCATCTTTAGCCTTTCCCCAATATAATCAATTTCTCAAACCCTAAACTCTAAACCCTAACAAATCAAGTTTCAGAACCATATCACATTATGAAAATACCAAATATAATACGAAATTATTTCTACCACTCTCAAAATACCAACAATTAATCATTACAAGAAATCTGTCTCCACGCTTTGCTGAAAGTTGCCAATAATATCACACAACTCGAACTTCACGTTTTTTTATAACTGTTTTAAATATCGTGAATTAATTTATTTACTACTTTCCCTCATTCGTCTGCACAATAAATTTGTCTTCAATTTTCTTTAATTATTGATACCTTTTTTTTACGATTTTTTTCTGTCTTTCTTTTAGGATTTATCCCTTCAGTCACCAAATGGATGAATTGGATTCTTTTTTTGGTAAATGTAAATGATGAATCGGATTTTATACGTTCTTATATCACTTCCGATCTCAAATATTTTTCAAATAAATTTGCATGTGACGTTAAAGGTTTTTATACGTGTGCATGATGAACTCTACTATCGAAAATAAACTAGCGTTTTATTTATTTCAAATTGTAACTTTATTTATTTACCCTTATTAATCCATATTCGGCGATTATGCAAGCTCCGGAATAAATTGCGATAGTAAATAGGCTGGGAACTGGCGAATTGGCGAGTCCGGCTTGTGACGGCCTGGGTCGTTTGGCCCGGTTTTTTTCTGGGCTCAAATATTTTGAACCCGACTCGAAAAAATATGGGTTGGCTCGTGAGTAAGCACGCGATCCGCGACTCATTTTACACCCTAACGGTATAGCATAAGTTTTATCAATACAATATGTTAGATTTTTTGATATTTGTTATGCATATATTCACATCATAATAATATTAAGGGAAAAAACCCTAAAAATTTCTGAACTTGTATTTTGGAGTAATATTAATTTCTAAACTTGTAGAGGTGCCTATTAATTCTGAAACTTGTAAAATTGAACACGTTAAATCCTGAACTTGTTAAACGGTTCCATAATCATCCATAGTGTTATTTGGTCAAAAAAAGAGTTGACCGATCCGACGTGGCATGTGACGTGGCGGTAATTTTCTGAATTGGCTCGCCACGTCATGCGCCACGTCAGATCAGTCAACTCGTTTTTTGACCAAATAACGCTACGGATGATTATGAAACCGTTTAACAAGTTCAGGATTTAACGTGTTCAATTTTGCAAGTTTGGGAATTAATCGGCACATCTACAAGTTTAGGAATTAATATTACTCCAAAATATAAGTTCAGAAATTTTTAGAGTTTTTGTGAATAAAGTATGACTATCTTTTAATTTCTAAATTAGTTATATATATAACAACTTTAGCTATATAACTTTAGGTCCAGATTTTATCATAATAATAACAATATTTTGTTATAGAGAAAATAATCTAATAATGGTATTCTTTCTATCAAATATTTAAAATCTAAATTGATTATTAATTGTTTTAGAAAAATATATTAAAAAGGATATTTGGAAAAAATACATTTAATTTAGAAATATTTTTTTAATATATTTTTTTAAAACAATTCATAATCAATAGGTTTTTAATAAATTTTGGAATACAAAACACATATAATGAGAATATGGAAATATAAAAATAAAATAAATGGTAAAATTAATTATGTATAAATTTTATTAACTCAAATTTCTTTATTTTAAAATTATTTATACTAAATAAAATAAAATAAAGCTAAAACAAAAATATATAATAATTTAGAAGTTAATATATTTTTATAGTAAAAGATATATTATGTTTTAATTTTTGTTTTCATATTACTCCCGAGAATATAGTTATACTAATTATATTAGAAAATTACTTCCTATATTTTATTAATTATAATTATATATATTTTAAAAAATTATTATTTAATATCCAAACACTAATTTATTCTGTGTCAAACAATCTTTTATATAGAAAAGACATACCAAAATAATACGAATATAAATTTAATTTGTAAATTAAATATGTGAATTTAAATTATTTGGAGCAGTTGCAATGAAAATATTTTATGTTGTTCTATGAAAATCAATTACATATAATACGTATTACCAGCTTTATATACAATCCAAAACATCATATGTCACACAAAAAAAAATAGATATGAAACAGAGAAAAATTATTAATTCACAAAAAAAAAAAAA